ATTAAAAATAATAATAATCACAATTAAAACACACATTACATATCATTTTGCACCACAGCTACAGATCGCTGTCCACACGGATCTGGGCGTCACTGTTGTTCCAGTCGGTGATCTTTGGCCTAATACTAACCCTATCAGCGATGGACACTAGCCGTTGGCCTGAAGTATACTTCTGGCTGATAATGGGCGGCGCGTTTGTGGCCAACATTGCGAACGGCATATTTCAAAGCTGTGTTTACGGAATTGCGGCCAAACTGCCCGTGCGATACACCAACGGCGTGACCATTGGCTTCAATCTGAGCGGTGTTATCGCCGCCGTGTTTATGATAGTGTCCATATCGGTGTCCCAGAATGACCGCGTTGTGGCCATCTATCTGTTTTCATTCGCCATCGCGTATCAGATGTTGTGTTTTTTGGTTGAAATGCTTGTCCGACGAAATGTGAGTAAAATATACAGTAAATTGCAGAATATTATTGAAAAACAACATTTTGATACAGATTTTATCACTATGATATTACTGTAATTGCTATATTTTAATATATCTAATTACTCACTATTTATTATGTTTTATCTACATAGAAATTTTACCAATATTATATGATTAATTACGGCGATGGTCAGCTGACAAACAACGATGTTGAAATAATAAAGGGCTGTAATGACATCGATAAAACATCTAAAACAGGAGTAGACATGTATTTATACGTTTTCTGTAAAATCTGGCTATTATTGGTCAATATAATCGTCACGTATTTCATCACGTATTCACTATTCCCGTCACTTCAGGCAAACATCAAACCCGTCGGCCGTATAATCGCCGACAAGTACTTTAGTCCCATATTTTGTTTCCTATTATTTCCCGTTTTCAACACCATTGGCAACTATTTGGCCGAAGTGTCGGCCAAACCATCGGAAACACTATTAACCGTATTGTCTCTCTTAAGGCTATCATTCATACCGTTTTTTCTGCTCTGCAATTACTATCCGTACGATCGACACATGTCTGTACTCGTGGCCAACGACTGGGTTTACATCGCGGGTGCGATATCTATGGCAGTCACCTCCGGATACCTGTCTAGCATTTGTATAATGTACTGTCCGGTAGGGGTTGAGCCCCGGTATGCGAGTTTGGCCGGAATGATGGCCTCGTTTTCAATACTCTTTGGCATATTATTAGGCTTTACTTTTTCATTATGCTATCCGTTGGTTATAAAACTGGACATTATTTAGTAGGTGTCACACAAATGATGGTCATTTTCTGCTGTAAATATGCATTTAATATACAAATATCACTCCTTTTTTATAAGACTTGGTCACAAATATTGATAGTTTTGTTGTACAATTAATTTTATATAAGTTTTTTAAGATTTTGATTAATATTATTGACAAACTTTTTATAATAGATACTTAGGATTTGATTGTACTGTCAATTGATAAGACTATTGTAATAAAAAAAACATACAATTATTTGAGAATTTTACATATTATTATTCCCAATCAATTGATTGAAATAAAGTGTTTGTTTTGTAACGTATTGACAGTTAATATGAAAAGTGATAATAAAATGTTGTAAAAAACATAGCATTTTTTATTGCAACATTAATTCAATGGTATTTATTCAACGGTTTCCTCTAAATATGACCTCATTTTGTGCTCAAAACCACTGCCTGTCATAACATAGACAAAAACTTGTGGTGAATTACAATTACATTAATTAATTTCTACTTTATTTTAGTACTAAAATATTTTTGTGTAAAATATGAAATATTTATGTTTTAAGTGCTAAACAATTGATTTGAAGACAAGTATATTGTGTTATATTTCACTGGAAAACACTTTCCGATGGGAAATACAGTGAAACTAATTTTATAAATGATTGTTAAAAATGTTCTATTGCTATTAATTTACAATAAGTTGTTAAACAAATATTATGTACATTTATATTGTATGCCACGGAATATCATAAATAAAATGCCATTTAAATTACAACACGTTTGAATATCATATTATTTTGACATTTAATATTATTTTAATAAATGAATTTAAATATTAATTAATATCATTAAAAATACTTATCCATAAATTAATATTTTAATCAAAAATGGGTGTAGGTGACAAGTGAGTATTATATTGATTACAATATAAATTACAAAATGTATTATTATATTATTAAATTACATTCAATTAAAGCTATCATTTGGTATATATTGTGATGTTTTTACACGGAATCGGAGCACTCATCGCATGGAATATATTAATTAATGCCGACAGTGTATGTGTCAATCAATTAATACCTAGATTATATTTACAAACAAACAATAAAAACAATTCAATAGCAATTAATTTTAAATTTATAAATATATATAACAATGACATGTATTTTAAAACTAGTATTTCGTGGACTACAAACTCAACGTAACGGACCATAAGTCGGAAACGCTTGAAAACTATCGCAAAAACTTTCTCTCATATCTGGGAATCGCGTCGAAAGCGCCAAACATTTTGTTTCAATTCATTAATATGTTCTTCAGCTCAG